GAGTCAGGTGAAGCTGAACGTGAAGTATCATCCTGATAAGAGGTATGATTAGCAACACCTGAAAGCTTGCCATGTAAATCTCAACAATAATCAACGGTGTGTCCTCCACGAGTGCACAAGCAAGGACCAGATCGACCACCACGACCTCCAAGTCCCCCACGACCACCATGGTTGCCACGACCACCTCCAGAACTATCATTATGGCTAGTAGGAACAACAAGTGTTGAGCGGTCATGAGATAAACTACGGTTAACACCAGAGGTCCCGATAGACAATATAACATGTTGTAAATGAGAAAAAACCTCAAGCAAAGATGGTAGACTACAACTGCCCAAAATTTGAGAACGGACAGCCTCATACTCAAGTCTTAAACCCATCAAAAAATGAACAACATTCATATCTTCATGCTGCTTCTGCCACACTATAGTATCAGTGGTAAACAGGTGGTAAAGTTTTAGTTCCCCACAAACTCCCGTGACATGGGAATAATAATCTGCAATGCTCAAATTACCTTGTTCTAAACAAAAGTATTGTTGACAAACCTCATAGGCACGAGTAAAATTACCTGTGCCCGAATACATAATAACCAAGTGGTCCTAAATTTCTTTGGCCATGTCTAGATAAAATAAAGTGGAGCTAATATTAGCCTCAGTACTATTCAATAATAAAGAAATAATCTGAGCATCTGTCTGTTCCTACTCATCATAACCAGGTGTACCTTCTTTGGGTTTAGGATCCATTAAATATTTCTTGAGACCTTTCCCTTTCAAAAATACTTGGACTAATCGCGACCATAAAACATAATTTGTCCCATTAAGCTTGATTGACGTCATAAGACTATTAAATAGAGCAGCAGAAGACAAACCAGGTGGCACAATAGGAGAAGTAACAACGGATATGTCATCGTTCTTGGATTCCATAGCCAAAGGACGGTTGAACAGTGTTAAACAGTGCAAAAAGGAGACTGCTCAGTGGTGAACAGTACTGGACAGTAATAATCCAAAGTTAAACAGAACAAGAAAGCTTGTTGGATCATTGAACCGGCAAAGAAAGGTTCGCTGGATCGCTGAACCGGCCAAGAAAGGCACATTGGACCGCTAAACCGGACCGTAAAGGCACACCAAACCACTGAGCTGGGAACAAAACCTTTGCTAGACCACTGAACTGAGCAGGTAAGGTTCATTGGACCAATAGACCGGAAGAAAAACTTGAACAACTGGTTTGAACCGGAGGAAAACGGACTGAATCGGGACTAAACAATGACTGAACAGGGTTTGAACTAATCTAGATCTAAATCTGGGTCTGGATTGGGTCTAGGTCTGGATCGGATCCGATAAAAAACCCTGTGGACTTAGGCATGTTACCCAAATCCGCAACTGACCTGTGAGGATCGTCTTCTCCAAGAACTAGGGTTTCAATCAAACCTTATTTGTCGGCAACACTCACACCAGACGACAACACTGAGAGATTCCAGCAGCCACACCACCACAAAAGCCATCAGAAGCCACACTAGTCTATGGCGCCTCACACCCCAAGCAACGACGACACTACCACAGTGACGAGGAACATCCAAAGCGATACCACATCACCACCACCATGAACAACATCAAGAGCAACCCTGTTGTCGACGCCAAGCAGAGAACAATGGAACCTCGATTTCACACCGAAGCTTCACCGGTGGGAATGCATAGAGTCAATGCAAACCCATTCGACACCCGGACTCAGTGAAGACGCAAACCAGAAGAAAAGAATGGAAGAGAAAAGAAAAGAGAGGAAAGAGAAAAAAAAAGATGATTAATAAGAGTCTTGCTCTGATACCTGATACCATGTTAAGATTATGGAAGAGCTTAACACAATATGAGAAAGACAAAGAGAGGTTTTGGCTTAACCTACCTCTCACTATTGGTCTTGTATTTATACCCACCGGACAAAATAAAAATTACGAGTATACCATTCGTGTGGTATACATATTACAATAAACATAAACCCTAATTACATTATAGCAACTTTCCTAATCGTATTATAGTAACTTTCTCAACAAGTTGGATGCTCTACATGGTATTAGAGTTGAGTTTTGAATAGTAACCGGATCAAGTCACTTAACCATTTGAATTTTTCGGTATGCATCAATATTTGTTTGTTTATTGACCCCACGTGGAAGTCTGAGTCCTACATGAGGGAGGGTGTTTAAGAGAGCTTGTACCTTACATCAAATAATTAAGACCACCAAGGTTGATTTATATACTCAAGGGTTACTCCACTTATTACCAATAGGTTTTGAGTTGGGTCCTCTAAGAGGATCTACTCCTATGTATGGATAGAAAAAGATGTGTTGCATTGCAACAAACACCCAAAATGCTTCTACTAGTTAATATAAAAGACACATTTACCTGCGAAGCAACAATAGCTGTCGTCAATAAAGAAGTAAGGTCCATAATCTTTGAGCGGGAAAGATTGGCGGTTGAGCACGAAACCAACTGTAGAAATTCCTGTTCTATTGAAATGATCTAGACCAGAAGGAAAGATTTGCAGTCTGAACTGAAGGTAAGAGTATACATCAACGGTTGGATCACTAAGAGAAACTGAATCCACGGGAAGTTGATTGGACCGAAAAGCTAACATTAGAGACCCCGCAAGAGTTCCGAAGTAACTTGAGTTTTCTAAATTTGAGAAGGAAAAAGAAAAGAAGTGTAGGGTTCCTGTGTACGGATATGCACATTTGCAATTTTGACTTAATATTCTGTCTGAACGGCAGACCACGGGAGTGCAGCTATTTGTTGGTGTGATGTATGAAGAGTTGGATTTCTGAATTGTGCAGTATCGTTCTGTTGCTCCATTTCCCTGACAAATTGGGTTACCAACAAGCCTGCATGTAACAATGGAATAAGAACTCTAAAAGGGAATAACATGCTAATAACATTAAGCACAAAGCATGCGCTATCCCAAAATGGAATTAATGAGTCCTCAAAGCTATAATGGAGGTAAAATTAAATGAATACCCAAACAAACTTATTCAACAAATGGATCAACAAAAAAACAAATTGCCTTACATCAAATCCATATTGTAACTTGAGTTTTGCGTAAAGTCAGTAATGGAGTTGTTCTGCAAATCGACCGTCAAATTGTTGCTATAACTGGTGCCAATATCTAGTGTCCCATTAAGCTTGTTGTTGCTTAGTACCCTGCCAACATATTTCAAATAAATCGCCCCATCACCCTCATTTCTCATTTAAGCAAATGAAGCAAAACATATGTTCGCTAAATTTTGTTACTGAACATCGCCCACATTAAATCTGGTGTTCATGAATTTTTTTTTTTTTCTTAGCTGGTGTTATTGGAGATTAAGCTTATACTTACACTGTCTCCAATTGAGGGAGGCTGAAAAGATTGACTGGAATGTGTCCTTCAAACTGTGTATTTTCCATCAATCTGTCAATATGAGGTAAAGAATTATTATTTATGTACAGCATCAAAAAACTCCTTGTAAATTGACAAGAAAATCTACTTTCTTTTATTGTTATTGAAGAGCTGTTGGGGCTCCAACCCTTAAAGGTGCTCCTGGCTATCTTGTATACCCATTAGGTTGACAACTAGACACACACACACACACAACAAAAACACATTGAGAGAGAGAGGGTAGAGATGGAAGGAGAGCGATCGAGAGAGAGGGTCCTCCTTTTGGAAAAAGTTAAGGGCATTGTCTTTTAATTTGAAAGACCGAAAAAAGTACATGTTTTGGGTAAACAGACAACAAAAGTCTGAGTCAGAAGCTGATTGAGAGAGAGTTCTCCCTTTGGAAGAAGTTTAGGACACTGTCTTTTTTATATCCAGTTCCAAATTGAAAGACGGAAAGTCCATGTTTTGGGTTGGCAGAACCAAAATCTGAGTCAGAAGCTAATGAACATGAATGCATACACAAAATGAGGCCCTCTTACCATTAACCGATACCATCAAATTGTTGTAACCATAGAAATCCAATTAAAGTAGGGGAAAAATATGGAAAAAATGGCTATGACGACAAATAAGTATTAAAAATGAGAGAGGGTTATTAATGAAAAAGACTCTGACAAAATGTTTGAAATACTCGCGTGCCATAATTTCATATTATTGCTTCAATCATCCACGAATTAGGGAAACACAGCGGGACTTTGCTGATGGATTTGACTAAGGGTCGTTTTGGAGTGTTATCCAAATTAGACATCTCCAGTGAAGTTTTTCTACTTCCTCTCCTAATCCCACCATAGGAGGGAAGGATTGTTCATTGTGTATGACGACACAAAAATCATTGTTTAACTTCTCAAAAGACTGTAATGTGTATAGAACTTTTTCATGAATGAATGTTTAAAGAAAGAAAAATATCCACAATTTTCATCCAAGAAAAGTATGTTAGAATTGATGTAGACATTAATTAATGCACTAGAAATTCGAGGTAGCTCTAATGCAAACCAATGAAGAGAAAGGATGAAATGCTTCCAGTTCAAGGAGCCATATGGAGAAGGCAGATATATATGCACAAACTTTCCAGACAAAACACAATGGATTCTGATTTAACAGAATAGGGGCTTATAGAAAACAGACTGGAAAAAGGTTCAAATGCCAGACCTTCAAGTAGCTGGGTTCCTGTGTGTATATGCGCCCACATGCATGTGTGTGTGTGTGTGTGTGTGTGTGAGAGAGAGAGAGAGAGAGAGAGAGATGGGTACAATGTCGTCAAAGACTGTATTTCGGTAAACCACGGGGGAATTTCTGATACATCAAAATTATTATTGCTCATTTCCCTACAAAGCAAATAGGTTTTGGTCAGAATTTCCAATGGATCACATTATTACAGAGTATAATTGCCATAAGAATTTGATAAAGAAAAAACACAGAAGAAAAAAGTATCCGAATATGAGAGGAGAGAAGTTGAAAATCATCTTTGAGAATATAATTAAAGATTGAGCAGCACTGCTTTGCCTGCACCATTAATAATATGAAAGATTCAAGAAAGTAACCCCAGCTTACACATAGGTAAGGAAGTTCATGCCGGTAAGGTTTGGAAGAGGTCCTGTGAGTTTATTGTTGGACAAGTACCTGAAAGTGGATAGCCAAGTCCCATTTTTATTACTTGAAGAATCTAATGCATGATAATCCTTACATACAAGAGACAAAAAATAAAAGCTTTAAGTTCTCTGTCTGCTTACAGCTCACTGACACTAGTAAGGTTGTTGAGGTTCAGAGGGACGGACCCATTTAATGAATTCCAATCTAGCCGGCTGTAGCCAAGGCAAAATTCAGTGCAAACTAAATTTTAAAAGTTCAGGGCAAGCAAGGATGGAGATACTCACACCATCTCCAATGTTTGTACAAGTCCTAGAGTACGAGGGATGTTCCCCGTGAGCTGATTGTTGTCAAAAACGCTGCCAAAACACACACACACACAGAAAATGGAGGCTGTTAGGAGTCACAATATAAATTGGCTGTTTTCAAGGAACTTATGAACTCCAGAGTCTGGACTCCACTCCTAGTTTCTTTCTCTAAATTATTTAGATCGGGTATTCCCCAATCCCCAATGCATAAGAATGTCATTATAAAAAACACTTATTCTTTCATTGAGAATATTGAAATATATTAATTCCTAGCTAACTATGTTGTCAAGTTTATTTGAAAAACCAACTGAGAGTGATCTTCCCCATAAGACTGTGCCAGAGAAGCATATTTCCAAAATACAGGTTCAATTTCCTATTGTGAAACCATCTACCTCCTTACTTATAGATGACAACGTGAATGCACACAAAACATATCTGAGTTACCTATTTACTTAAAGTAATAAAACATATATATTAAATATCCATTCCAATATGCTCACACATGTATCAAGTTCATGTTTGAGCTGAAATACAGGTTCAATTTCCTATTGTGAAACCATCTACCTCCTTACTTATAGGTGAACAACGTGAATGCGCACAAAACATATCTGAGTTACCCATTTACTTAAAATAAAACAGATATATTAAATATCCATTCCAATATACTCACACATGTATCAAGTTCATGTTTGAGCTGAAAAGTTGAGGTTGGATGGTGCCTGAAAGCTGATTCTTTGCCAAATGACTGTACATAATTGGTTGATGTTCACATTGACAAATAAAAAAATAAATTACAAGAAAGAAGAGACTGAATATTTTGAAAACTTCAAGGTTGAAATTTTAACGAGGTAGAGCGTACAAGTGTTTTGCTTTAATTAGCATATCCAAACCAGGAGTAGGTCCACTGGATACTGGAATGGTTCCATTAAGCTGATTGTCACTTAAATCTAGCCATGAAAGATTCAATAGATTACCAATAGAAGGTGGAATTGGTCCACTGAAGCTGTTAGAATTCAGAGCTCTGCGTAGAACGGCAATTCACAAGATACAGAAAATAAGATGACAGCAGCTTCTACTAAAACTCTTCAAAAGACAGGCACATAAAAGCTTCAGAATGGTTGAATTATAAAGAGTTCAATTAGGAGACCAAAGAGGCAATAAAAGGGCCCATTATACATAGTTCCATGGCAATATAAAGATAACTTGAACTGCATTCAAACTACAATGCCAAAATTCCTGGGCTTCTGTAAGGAAATGAATGCTCATCAAACCTTCAGAAAATCAAACGAAGTACGCTAGAATGAAATCCTTACAGAAAAACTAGCAGCTGCAGAGATCCTATTGAGTCTGGAATTGGACCAAAGAAACTGCAACCAACCAGCATTCTACGTGAAAGGAAAACAAATTCGTCAAACATAAATATTGAAGCACACTAGTTGGGTAGCTGACACTCAAAGCACGAATACGATTTTGCTTACAGGGTCGTCAGATTCTTTAAATTCCCAATTGATGGTGGAAGAGTTCCTTTCAGACCTATGTTATTTGAAAGATCCCTGCATGCAGAAGCTACTGATCAGAAAATAACTGGTTCTTGCGAAATTTATCAGCAATAATGTAGAATACAAAACAATGTCTACAGATAAAGTAAAGAGATGTCCATTGAATTAAAGTAAGACATAAACAGAATTGAATTTTAGTTTTTTTGTGTGGGCTGTGTTCTCCTTGAACCAGGGAGTGGGAGAGGAAAAATGGAGCAGGAGAATTTTCAGGTGCAGAGAAAGCAATATGGTAAGCAAGACTAAGCCTTGTCCCAATAATTTTAGGGTCAGCTACATAAATCATGTCCCTCCATTATGCTCTATAAAGAGTCATATTTTTCCTGTTCAGCTACAAACTATCACGTCCTTTTTTACGATCTCGTTTAATGTACATTTCAGTCTGCTACCCTTCACGTTATCATTGATAGGCTCCTCACTGGTATAGTAAGAGGGCTTCTATAAACATGCTCAAACCATCTAAGTCAATTCTCTCAATATCTTCTCCAGACACTACTTCAACTCTATCACCAATATGTTCATCACAGTGCTCGCTTTTTTTTTAACCCACATCCATCTTAACGCACATACTTTTTGGTCATGTTTTTTTTCTAATTTGCTCAGCACTCTTGCGATAACCACTACACAAGAAAAGGAAAATAAACATATGAAAATAGAGTATGGGTGAGATATTAGGCTTGAATACGAAGGAAGATATTTAAGGCTTATCATTTGGTGAAATAAGGAAGAAACAATAAAGGTTATCAATTTTGTTACACTTGATTGAGTGGGTCTGTAATATGAGATCTTCATACGTCATTGTAGTTTGGGGGCAAAATGTAATTTCATGTGAAGATGGGAAGCTTAGCATCAAAATGACAAGATTTACTAATAGCAGTGGAATAGCAATGCAGCAGTGACATTCTCAAAGTGAACAGACTACAAAAACTTAATTAAATATGTTGTAGGCTCTACTATAGCAATTAATGGTGGCAACCTAATTTTTTGCAACAAATGAGCTAATTCTTAGCAGAATTGATATGAAGAGGATTGTTCTCAGCTAGGACAATCATGGCTATACCATTTCTTAGTATTGTTTCAGACCTTTGATCTATACATCCATCAGTGTCAGTTTTGGTTTCATTAAGTGGGTTACTTCACAATATCCATCTGTCTTTAAATCTCTTTGCAATGAGGTTGTTTCATAGTCACAATCCTGAATTCAACTTTGATTTTTGTATCGTCATCGTTCTGAAATTTTGTTTGATGTCCATTAAATGGGGTATGCTGAAAATATTTTTGGTTGGAGAATTACATAGGGACTTGTTGGTACATAGTATGTGCACTCAGGGGTATGGTTTGTTTAGTGAGATGTAATTATGACTTTGTGGGGTGTGTGTGATGGTGGAATGCAGCGAGTGGGGTTTGGAATGTTGCCAAGATGAACTTAGTATGATACTTTCGCGATTCATGGTTAGTTGTTCATTCAATCTGTTTACCTGGATCCCAAGCTCAGCCCCCAATTTAACCTCTCTAGTACGGGTTGATTTTGGTGTAAAGACCAGTAGGGCAATAGAGTAGCTGAAGAATTTTGAGAGTTGTTGATTGGTAATTACTTTCTACAATTTTTCAATATTTTATGGTTTGGACTGTTGTAATATCTAGGGAAAATCAAGTTATTGAAGTTTTCAATGCACTATATTTAGAGGAAATTGATGGTAATTTAGTTCGCGCATCAAGTCCCCACGGGTGCGTTACTTGGGGCACGACAACTCAGTACCATAAACCATTGTTGGTCCGGTGGTTGTCTTGTAGAATTTACCTTTCAGTTCATGAGACCTACATGTCACATAATACACCCTCTTCATTCTTCCACTTTGTCCATCCTTCTTTAATTCTAGGACTAGCATCATCTCCAATCTCTTCTTCTTTGTGGATAGTGGAACCCAAACACCTAAAATGTTCACTATTTAATATATACTGATATTCTATTTTGCTATTTGCTTATTTGAATTTCTACTTTTACTACGACCACGTTCTCATATATTCTATCTGATTTCTACTTGTTTTGAATTCTTTTGATTCTCAAGCTTCTCCCCAAATTTAACATATATGGTTATTATCTTGATAGTTTTATTTTTATACACACATCTACGTATATATGCATGTATCTATCAGATATTCTGTTACAAAAAAAAAAAAACAAAAAATCATTGTGTCTGGACATTAGAGTCACAAAGTAAAGAATCGCACTGTACGCTAGTTGCTTTTAGTCACTTATTAGTTTAACAGTGCATCCCTTATTGTAACATTGACCCTTTAGGAGTTTTGCCTCTCAAAATAACTGGTTTCTCCCTGGAAACTTTTGATCAAACAAGCTTTTGATAGGATCTGGAACAAAATATTATACTCTTTAGACCATCCAAATGAGTCTGTTAGTTTTCCCAAACAATTTGCAGAAAAAGGGAAGTAGTACTGTAGTACTTCAATACATCTCTTGCTATGAAGCACGGATACAGATACAGGTACCATACGATACGGATATGGCGATATGACAAAATGTAGAATACGAGTACGGTCAAGATAAGGCTATAATAAAATATATTTAATATTTTTATTATTTTCAACGAGCTTAATACTTATATATTTTGGTAGTTCTTTAACAAACAATAAGAAAAATTAGTAATTTTTTTTAGTTTCAAGAAAATATATATCGTATTACTATGGTATATTCACAGAGTGAAGTGACTAATTAAAAGAATCAAAGCTAATATTTATCAAGTATTTAGAAGTAATTTTTGCTAAGATTATAATGTAATTGCTTTATTTTATGCTCTTTTGACATGTAATTGTAGATAATACTTAAGAAATACTCATGTGTCTTTGAAGTAATATGAATTTTTGTTAATGTATTGTATAGTATGTGAATTCGAAAAGAGATGTTAAAATTCAACTCAAAAATTATATATGTTGTTCAACCACAAAAGTATCCATGAAATATTCTAATATTTAATTATTATCGGATACGTAGAAGAGGTATCCGATACATATCTTCGAGTATCCGACAAGTAAAGTATCCGATACGGGTATGCCAACCTCAATGAAGTATCCATGTTTCATAGATCTCTTGTAACACTGGACATTTATATATGATAGCACATGGCTAATATTTAGCAACTAAAGTGACAAGTCCACATTAGAGTTTGTTCATCCAAGTGGTTTTGTAATCTTAAGTCACAAAGGAGAATAAAAATTCTCCGCACAACCGGTCACAATCTTGACGCATCAATTATGAAAATAGAGTTAAAAAAAAACAAAAAATTTGCATCACAGTCCAATGATACAAGTTCCCAAAGATAGTCTACATGGTGCTTGTATCAGAGATATGAAGAATCTCTGGCCACTATTTATGCCCCTATGAGTGCTCAACCACTTGACCAGTGAACCTTGCGGGTGTTTGAGCAATGTAGTCTAGCATGAATAATGTTGATTTCTGAAAAGTCAATTATATATGAGAACTACAGTTTACGAAGATCTCGGATAAGTAAAGATGCCTGAAAAACTAGACACAAATCACATGTACAAGGAAAGAGTAAAAGTAGAGACATGGAACTTACAAAAACTGTAAATTGGTGAATGATGCAATGTCGCCAAACTGGCTGCCCGACACAAGCACGCCTGCTAATTTTCTGCGATGAGAGTTGGCTGGTTAAAACAAGAATAAGAGGCAGAATAAGCAACTCTATGAGCTTTAGAAGGCTGAAACACCAATGACTTACATGGAGGTAACGTGTGAATTGGTACATGCAATACCGTCCCAACTGCTGCCACAAGGATCTGACCCCTTCCAGGACGGTGGCAAGTTCTGCCAGCTAGACTTGATAGCATGTAGAGCAGCAACTGCAATAATGATCACAATTGTTTTGATGTTTAATCATTGACAAAAAAAAAATATTCTCCAACAGATACTATTTAATTCAATCTAAGTGCGAAGAACTATGAGGAAGCAAGAAGGCAGAGAGCAATTTAGTCCTTGCTTTTTGATTAAGGTTCCACACAGTAAAAATTGGGATACTCTGGCTGCCATATATAAAGCTCACTTTTTTCCTATAGTTAACAAAGAATTTCTGAGTTTTAAGTACTTCCAAATAACTTAAGCTACAAAAACAATCAATGAATAACCAAATACATTCAACTGTAATTGCTTATGCCAAAGGAGTTAGATCTCTGAGTTAGAGTGTTACTTTCCTATTATATTATTTTCCTATGATGTCTATTTTGTATTTTCTGTTTACTTCCTATTATATTGTTTCGTAATCTCTTTCTTCCTCTTTTCTTCTTCCTCTTTCTTTCTTTTCTAAAACCTAATATAAAACAATTCAAAGTATCAAAGCAAGATACTTAGGTAAGTGGAGCCCCAGGAGAGTACTAGTCGCCTAGGTGTATTGCTGGCCCTGCATACATCGAGTTATAGTCGTCTCTGTATTCGCCAGCTGTTTGCCAGGTTTAGTGTTGCTTCAGCGATTTTGGGCCTAATTTGGTATTGGTTTAGCGGTTTTCATCCCAGTTCACTGGATCATTGTTGGTACATTGTTGGTAGCCTAGTTTAGTGCCTAAATTAATGACTTTACTCACATACAAAGTAGAATATAAATTGCATCTCTAAAAGACGATGTGGATAAAAAGCTAATGTAACAAGAACTGACAAAAAACCATATCTTAAGGGTCATTCCAAATGCCCAGAGATATTTCAGCTGACTACTACATTTGTTAAAAATATCCCATTATCATCCAAAAAAGAGGTAATCTATTATGCAGTTAATGACCTAAATCTACAAAATATTTTGAAGGCAACTGTGAGGAAAATTTAGTTGGAGACTATGTGTAAACACTTCAAATCAAGCCTTTCCATACTTGGAGCCTATATAGAAGAAAAGAAAGCAATCAAAATTAAAAACTCACACACCGCAATGGAACATCAAAGAAAAAGCAGAGCCTTTGCCACCACTTCTGTAACGCGGTAGTAAATCACGATCCAAATCAAGAAAAACTTATCTAAACTATTCAACCCCGATAGACATGCCTAAGCTAATAAATATGTTTTCCAAAGAATAGATTAGGTAATTAACATTTGCAGGAAATGTATTACCAAATAGAAGCATTTTTTTTGAATATGTGCAAGGAAACCATTCATTGACTACTCAATGAAAACAAAAAACAAGTATCTGATCATATCAACACATGAAAAATATTTCAGATTCATATGGTCATAGAATAAGAAACAAAAACTATACATAATAATCAGATAAACTTACGATCATCGCTGTTTGTCTGTGCTGCTATAAACAAAATTTGAGTAAAAACAATGAGTAGCCAGACCTGGATTCTTGAACCCATTTCCCAAACAACAAAAAAATATTGCTGAATCGACTAAAGACCCAACAAAAAACTCCAAAACGACACCACCCTCTGTTCAATTCCAATTCCAACTAACCCAATTCTCAGATGCAAGTTTTTTATGAAACCATGTATTACCAATGACTTCTACATAGAGATTGAGTACCATACGACTTTGTCTTCAACTCCATGGTAAATTTCCAACCCACACCCTTGATTTCTCAGCACAAATATATAAAAATATTGCAATGAAACTTTCTCGGTCATGTCAATTTCAACATATTACCGAGTCTCCTGAACTTGAGTGTCTGGCCGTTTTATATGGAATATACTATTGAAAAAAAAAAAAACATTGACATTGTTCTTCTAGAAATAAAAAATTCCAAAGGCATTACCTGGAGATGAGTGTGAAAATTCAATTTGGGTTTTTCTTTTGGATGATCTTTGGAGGAAACCCTATTCGTTGTCTTCTCTCTCTCTCTCTCTTTCTTTTTTAAACTCTAATTCATTGTCAGGTTTCTACCTGCTTCTCAGAAACAGTCAAACGCATATGTGTTGGCGCCAACCACTAGGCAACAGGAATTAGGTTTTAATTCATAAAATATTAAATTACAAAGACAGTGCCGATAGATTACCCTAAATGCGTGGGCTACCCCTTATAGTTTCTGAAATTATATTGACAGACCTTTTAGTTATCCAGAATACCACACTACAATGACAAAATACAGTAGAATATGATTCAATTATCACACTTAGTCTAGGGTTAATGTTTGTGTGATTGATAGCATGGTGGTTTAAACTGGGTCGAATCTTTTGAGTTAAATATAAGTTCGAGAGAATAATCGATGCAAACGTGAATTTCGTATAACTCATAAAAAAGAAAGTCAAATTGACCGTAAAATTTGACCACATCAACCTAGTATGATATTTCCATGATTAATTTGGACCGAAATTCAATCAAAAAATTGGAATGAATCACCCACCCACCCACGAGGTCATGTTTAGTAAAGTGTTGGTGTTCACATGATTGATTTGAATGATTCATTTGTGCCCAAATTCACATAATTTAAGCTGAAATTTATATGATCCGGATGCATATTCATGTATCAACGTTAGAAAGATGTCCAAATGGGAAGAATATTTGCAATAGCTTGTTAGCGTCATGTGTTGTTATCAATCAATTATAAATAAACATGTAGAACTAGTGGATCCCACAAAATTTTACAATTATCAACCACTTTTGCATTTAATAACTATTATGTAGAATTATCGTGGTTCGATTGTCTTACTATTTACTCATAATCGATTGATGATACCACGTGATGATGATAGCGTACTATCACCATCACATTGAATAATTACTCGTGTAGACGAATACTCAAAGAGGTTGAATGAATACAAGAAAATGCCACATGAATCGGAGCGTGACTGGCAAGGATATTATAAATAGATTCACTTGTAGCTCTCCATTAAATTTCAACCAGAAAAGTCATTTAAGGTCAAAGGAAAACTATAAACTATAAACTAAGTCGGAAAAAACTAACATTTACACTCATGATCCATTTTGTTTTTTTTTTTTGGTATTTCCAAGCTCGGTCCATTGATATGTTGTCTAAGCGTATAAGCATTTGTCATTGCTTTATGTTTAATATTTACAAAATAAAGATGAAACAACCTACCACTTACCTCTCAAAGACTACGCTGTAATCGGGCCCTTTGTTTTATGGGGTTGGGCTTTTCTTGCAAGATGGTGATAGGATTCGAGTGCGAGTGCCCACTCTTTCAATAGTTCCTACTGAGGGACCAGTTTGGCTTAATGGTATTAGTCCCTCCTTTTCTTGTGATAAAACAGAGGAAAGGTTTTCATTATGTGAACTAAAGAGGGCTGTTGTGCTACCAACTTGAACTATTTCAAATTTTAAACCTTTAAAGCTCATACAAAGCATTTTCAACTGCAATAGGAACTAGAAAATGAGCAATTTTTCACAAAGGGAAAAGCACTCAAGATCAATGGCTTTTGCAGAGAATGAAACACATTAAGGTATTTGAATCAATAGTACAAACATTCCTAACATTGTCACAATGTCTCCTGTATAATATACTTAGTTGCACATGCTTAATGATCCATATATGCACATCCTAATTACTAGATTGATTACAGCCTGAATCTGTTTCAAAGATCGAAAAGATTGAAGAAGTTAAATGTTCAAACCAAGGCACTGCAGGAAGGGACAGAAACAACCTGCTGCTACCTACTTGTAAATTTGAAATGGAAACATTTATCTTACCAGTGGCCCTCCAAATCACGAGGTAAGAAGCCACCACTGTAATCAAAGGCCTTACCCCAGTCAGACATCCCCTCATTACTTGATGAAGCGAACTCCGTTTCAGAATTCTTGTTCGAACTAGCTAACTGCATGATGTTCTCGATTTCTCTCACCACCTCACCCATTGTAGGCCTCTCACATGAATAGTCTTTGACACATCTCATTGCCAACTCCACAAACTTTTTCAAGCCTCCAAGTTTTGCACTTGAACCGAGGGTTGGATCAAGAATGTCACGAATGTAATATTGATCCGTTGAATTAGCAATTGCATCCTTAACCATTACCACAATGTACTTCCCTCGCTCTATTGGTGCCCTTGCAGTTACCAGCTCCAGCAACACAATTCCAAAGCTATAAACATCACTCTTCTCAGACAGCTGTTGGGTCGTGTAATATTCAGGATCCATGTATCCCTACAGTGACAAAAGAATCGATTTTCCATGTGTCAACCTAAAGCAAAATTGAAGCAGCAACGAAATAACAAAAATACCCAATCATACACAGCATAGATAAATTTGAGAAAAGCTAAATAGCTACTTAAAGTCCTATAAAATGTGTGTGCAGTATGTGGCCTGGGGCAAGCACTAGAAGTACGGACCATATCCTCTACCACCTTCCACTAGAAATGTCCAAACTTTCCTGGATTTTTTTTTTTTTTTTGCATTGTACATCTGGGAGACGAATTTTAAATTAGGGCAACTATCAAGGGAGATATTTTATTTAAAACAATGGGCAACTTTTCAACCAAGCATAAGAAATCATAATTACGACGAATATAATCCTCAGACATATGTTTATAATAAATAGTTGGCATCCTGCTTGAGAAGTACAAGAATTTATTCCAATAAGCTACCGGCTTATCAATGCTTATCCAATAACTGAAGTGATGCACAATGAAAATTGAAAATTCCTGTAATATTCAACTGCTTATGAAAAATAGCGGGACAACTCCGGAGTCATTTCATAGATCAGTGCCTTGCTTAGCTAGAAAAATGAGGTTATAATAATCTTCTATCTCAACAATACCAGAAACAATCCGAAATTGTAACTATCCAAAAAGTTTTGCAGGGCAAAGCTATACTATTTTCCATCTCCCCACTCAGAAAAAAAAGACATCCAAACATGGCTACATAGAAAAGTAGTGGCATCCATGTTAAAGTAAAGGTTTTAAGGATTTCATACTTACCATTGTCCCTTTGACTTGAGTGCTAACATAACTCTTACTGGTATCTGCCAAAAGTTTGGATAAGCCAAAATCGGCAACTTTTGCATTTAGATGATCATCTAGTAGGATGTTGGTTGACTTAATGTCCCTGTGTATGATGGGAGGGTTGGCAAGCTCATGCATATAGGCCAGACCTTTGGCTGAATCAAGGGCTATTCTAAGTCTCCTCATCCAGTTCAATCGGAATCCTGACTTCCCTGTGTAGATCATGTTCAGATTATCAAAGAGAATTAATTTTCATTTGTGTCTTCTCAATAATAATTCTCCATTTTGTTTCTTGCATAGTTCATTGTGCTTGAGGATAAAAAAGAGACAAAATTTCTGTTAACGAGTGAAAGCTCGTCTAGGGTTGGGCTGTACAACCCTACAGTATAATTCAATTGAGTATTCCAATGGCTTAGGGGCGACAGAGGATGGGGGTTTCAATACAGGTTCCCCTGCCCACTAGCCATTATGTAATTTGACATGGCACCATGAATATATTTTTACTAGTTGTACTTAATTCGATGGAGGCCCGTGGTTAGGTAACGTAAATCGTTGATATTCAGATGTAAAAGGGGTAGGACAGGAGAAGCAATCCAATCTTGTTATGAGATGACGTAATGGTTTTAAACCTCCTTGGTTGAGTTTGACACATGGTCGTATAAGTCTCATTTTTATAGCTCCTATCTGATTACATGCTTGCATTCATTGTCGATACAAGTTGAATGGCTATTTTCATTTTTTATTGAATTATGTGTTGAAGGTGGCAGATGATACTCTTTCAAATATTGGAAGGACTATAAGAAATTAGTGAAATTACCTGAAAGACCATCTTTCAGGTTACCATTTGGAATATACTCATAGACCAGCATTTGTTCCCCTTGCTCATAACAGAAACCCACCAGGCTGACAACATTCTTATGATGGATCCTTGATAGAAGCTCAATCTCAGTCTTAAACTCAAGAGCACCCTGCAATGATCCCCGTTGAGCTCTTTTGATGGCAACTAATTGGTCAGAGGCAATAGTTCCTCTATAAACCTGTCAACAAACTATAAATTCAGAATGTAGAACATTTTGGAGCTCAACTAATATTGAGAACAGAAAAATGCTGAGAATCCCATGTTAATCATCAAAATTTTGTCATGTGAGAAGGAAGGTCAAAGTAATTTTTATCCAGGGGACGAAGCAAACACATTTTGTTATCAGAAAAGAAAAAAGATTGCATGTCTGCTGCAGGGAGTTTTTAAAATAATAAAGTGAATGGGCAAAATGTTGCATTGTACTTTAGATAATAATGCAATTATATACTCTTGACAACTTATTTTTCGTGTACTTCAATATTTCATTCTCTAAAGTCACTGGCTTGTCCACATAAGAAGTTAAATAGTTCAAGATATTTCGATAATTGCCAAATAAGACCAATTCATCCAGATCTAACATCTGTCCTGTCTTCTTGTCTAGTATATGATGGTGAGTGGATTAATCAATGGTGTGAGAGTCTTAGGACAGGTTTAGGGTCTGAAACTGCAGTTTTTAACTAGGACTGGTGGTAAAGTACTAGCTGAAGTATCACATGGAGATTGAAAAAAAATTGAAAAATAGAAAGGAAACAATAAATATCTAACCTTCCCATAGCCCCCAGATCCAATAGCATTCACTTCTGCAAAATTGTTAGTACATTTCCGAAGCTCTTCAAATGAAAACCATCTAGCTCCTTTAAGTTGTGGAACACCGCCACTGCTTTCATCACGGTCCCAATTTGCTATAGTTGTACGAAAATGTTTTTTAGAGCATCTCGTATAATTTAGCTAAAAAGAGCTTTGTTTTGCAGCAAATATTGATCTTACCAAAAGGGTTGCTCTGTTGAACTGCTCGTTTTGCTTTTCTCTTTAGATGGAAAGCACAAAATCTTGCACCGAGTATTAAAAGTACAAGCACAAAACTACCACCAACTACTGCTCCAACGATAATGCCTGTTTTAGATGGTTTTTTTGCTCCTGTAAATGCAAAAATAGGTCGATGGATGTGTAAGGCTACTCTACTCATTGCCTATTGGTTTTTAGTTGGATGGTCTAACATGATATTAGAGTTGAGTTTTGGGTGGCTAGTGGATAAAGTTTCTTACCCATTTGAATTTCAAGTATGAATATTTGTTTGTTTATTTGTTGACTCCACATGCAAGTCTGGGTCCTACATAAGTGAGGGTGTTTAAGAGATCTTGTACCCTACATTAAATAATTAAGACCGCCAAGGTTGGAGCATATACTTGAAGGGTTACTCCACCCATTACCAATTGGTTTTGAGTTGGATCCTCTAAGAGGATGTACTTCTATGTATGGATAGAAAATGATGTCTCATTGCAACAAACACCCAAAATGCTTCTACTAGTTAATATGAGATACAAGTTTACCTGCAAAGCAACAATAGCCCTCGTCAATAAAGAAGTAAGGCCCATAATTTGGAATTGGGAAAGATTGGCTGGTGAGCAGAAAACCAACTGTAGAAATTCCTGTTCTATTGAAATGATCTAGACCAGAAGGAAAGATTTGCAGTTTGATCTGAAGGTAAGAGTATAAATTGACAGTTGGATCACAAAGAGACACTGAATCCACAGGAAGTTTATTGGACAGAAAAGCTGACATCAAAGACCCCGCAAGGGTTCTGAAGTAACTTGAGTTTTCTAAATTTGAGAAGGAAATAGAAATGAAGTGTAAGGTTCCTGTGTATGGATATGCACATTTGCAATATGGACTTGATATACTGCCTGAATGGCAGACCGCAGTAGTGCAGTTATTTGTTGGTGTGCAGTTTGAAGGGTAGGATTTCTGAATTGTGCAGTATCGTTCTGCTGCTCCATTTCCCTGACAAATTGGGTTGCCCACAAGCCTGCATCGAACAATAAAATATGACCTCTAAGAGGGGATAACATGCTAACGACATTAAACACACAGCATGCACTATCCCAAAATGGAATCAATGGTGAATCAACAAAAAAATAAATTGCCTTACTTCAAGACCATATTGTAACTTGCTTTCTGTGTAAAGTCGCTAATGGAGTTGTTCTGCAAATCAACGGTCAAATTGTTGCTATAACTGTTGCCAATATCCAGTGTCCCATTAAGCTTGTTGTTGCTTAGTACCCTGCCAACATATTTCCAATAAATTGCCCCATCACCCTCATTTCTCATTGAAAAAACCTTATTTGGATTCTTCTATGTTGAAAATGAAGCAAAACATATGTTCATTAAATTTTGTTACTGAATATCACCCACATTAAATCTGGTGTTCATGGTGTTATTGGAGATTAAGCTTATACTCACACCGTCTCCAATTGAGGGAGGCTGAAAAGATTGACTGGAATGTGTGCTTCAAGTTGTGTATTTTCCATCACTCTGTCAATATGAGGTAAAGAATTATTATTTTATCCACGGCATAAAAAACTCCTTGTAAATTAACAAGAAAATCCACTTTCTTTTATTGTTATTGAAGAGCTGTTGGGGCTTCCAACCCTTAAAGGTGCTCAGGGCTATCTTGTATACCCATTATGTTGACAACTAGACACACGCACACACATAACAAAAACACATTGAGAGAGAGGGTACAGAGATGGAAGTAAAGTGATGGAAAGAGAGTCCTCTTTTTGGAAGAAGTTCAGTGCATTGTCTTTTGTGTACCCAGTTCCAATTTGAAAGACAGAAAAAAGTCCAAGTTTTGGGTAGACAGAAAACAAAAATCTTGAGTCAGAAGCTGATTGAGAGTGTTCTCCCTTGGAAGAAGTTTAGGGCACTGTCTTTTTTATATCCAGTTCCAAATTGAAACACGGAAAGTCCATGTTTTGAGTTGACAGAACAAAAATCTGAGTCAGAAGCTAATGAACACGAATGCATACACAAAATGAGACCCTCTTACTATTAGACATTTCCAGTGAAGTTTTTCCACTTACCTCTCCTAATCCCGGCAAAGGCGGGAAGGATTGTTCATTGGGTATGACAACGACACAAAAATCATAGTTTAACTACTCTTAAGACTGCAATGTGTAGAGAGCTTTATCATGAATGAATGTTAAAGAAAGAAACATATCCACAAATTTAATCAAAGAAAAATATGCATGTTTGTGCGTGCGTGTGTGTGTGTGTGTGTGAGAGAGAGAGAGAGATGGGTACAATGTCGTCAAAGACTGTATTTCGGTAAACCACACGGGAATTTCTGATACATCAAAACTATTATTGCTCATATCCCTACAAAGCAAATAGGTTTTGGTCAGAATTTCCAATGGATCACATTATTACAGAGTATAATTGCCATAAGAATTTGACAAAGAAAAAGCACAAACGAAAAAAGTATGCGAATATGACAGGAGAAAGTTGAAAATCATCTTTGAAAAGAAAGCTCCAAATAGAGCAGCATTGCTTCACCTGCACCATTAATAATATGAAAGATTGAAGAAAGTAACCCCAGCTTACCAGTAAGTAAGGAAGTTCATGCCGGTAACGTTTGGAAGAGGTCCTGTGAGTTCATTGTTGGACAAGTACCTGAAAGTGGATAGCCAAGTCCCATTTTTATTACTCGGAGAATCTAATGCATGATAATCTAAAAGCTTTAAGTTCGAGAAATCATCTGTGTCTGCTTACAGCATACTGACACTTGTAAGGTTGTTGAGGTTTGGAGGGACGGACCCACTTAATGAATTCCAATCTAGCCGGCTGTAGCCAAGACAAAAATTCAGCGCAAACTAAATTGTAAAAGTTCAGGGCAAGTAAGAATGGAGATACTCACACAACCTCCAATGTTTGTACAAGTCCTAGAGTAAGAGGGATGTTCCCCCTCAGCTGATTGTTGTTAAAAACGCTGCAAAAAATAAACACGAAGAAAATGGAGGCCCCCTTGTGAAACCATCTACCTTCTTACTTATTTGTGAACAAAGTGAATGCGCACAAAACATATCTGAATTATCTATTTACTTAAAGGTAATAAAGCAGATATACTAAATATCCATTCCAATATACTCACAAATGTATCAAGTTCATGTTTGAGCTGAAAAGTTGCGGTTGGATGGTGCCCGAAAGCTGATTATTTGAGAAATGACTGTACATAATTGGTAGATGTTCACATTGACAAATAGGAAAAAAAAAATTACAAACATTTTGAAAACTTCAGAAGTAGAACATACAAGTGTTTTGCATTAACTAGCATATCCAAACCAGGTGTAGTTCCTTTGGACACTGGAATGGTTCCAGTAAGCTGATTCTCACTTACATCCAGCCATGTAAGATTCAATAGATTACCAATAGAAGCTGGAATTGGTCCACTGAAGTTGTTAGAATTCAGAGCTCTGCGTAGAACGGCAATTCACAAGATACAACAAATAAGATGCTGCAGCTTCTACTAAACTCTTCATTTAAATTCACCCTCATTTAAATTTGGGTTTCTGTCTCCTCCTTTAAATTTGGGAAAGTGTTTGAGTTTTCATTGGAGATGGTGTAAAAGGGCCCATTATACATATAGTTCCATGACAATATAAAGATAACTTGAACTGCTTTCAAACTACAATGCCAAAATTCCTGGGCTTGTGTAAGGAAATGGATGATCATCAAACCTTGAGCAAATCAAGCAAAGTACTCTGGAATGAAATCCTTACAGAAATACTAGCTGTTGCAGAGATCCTATTGAGTCTGGAATTGGACCAAAGAAACTGCAAGCAGCCAGCTTTCTACGTGAAAGGAAAAGAAATTAGTCAAATTTAAAAACTGAAGCACACTAGTTGGTAGCTGACACTCAAAGCAGGAGGGAATAGGATTTTGCTTACAGGATCGTCAGATTCTTTAAATTCCCAATAGATGGTGGAAGAGTTCCTTTCAGACCTATGTTATTTGAAAGATCCCTGCATGCAGAAGCTACTGATCAGAAAATAATTGGTTCTTGCGAAATTTATCAGCAATAATGTAGAATACAAAACAATGTCTACAGGTCAAGTAAAGAGATGTCCATTGAATTAAAGTAAGCTATAAACCACAAAATTGAATTTTAGAATTTTTTTTTTTTTGTGGGATGTGTTCTCCTGGAATTTTCAAGGGCAGAGAAAGTAATATGGCAAGCAAGACTAAGCGTTCTCCCAATAATTTTAGGGTCGACTACATAATTCATCTCCCTTCATTAGGTTCTGTAAAGAATCATATTGTTGTGTTCAGTAATAGGTTCCTCATCAATATAGTAAGAGAAGTGTTGACGGGGAGTTAAAAGATGCTGACACACAACACGTGTTTGTGCCAAGTGTATTTAAAGAGATGAGTAAAATGAGTGGACTAGATGAAAAGAACTCAAACGACTTATTAATGAAGCGACCAACCAGTTAGGTAAAGGGTA